TCTGAAGATAGTTAAAAAACCACAAAAAAGGGGCGCCTGGATGGCTCAGTCGTTAAGCGTCTGCCTTCAGCTCAGGTCATGATCCCAGGCTCCTGGGATCGAGCCCTGCATCAGGGTCCCTGCTCCGCAGGAAAGCCTGCTTCTCCCTCTCCCACTCCCCCTGCTTGTGTTCCCTCTCTTGCTGTGTCTTTCTCTGTCAAATAAATAAATAAAATCTTTAAAAAAAAAAAAAAAACACACCAAAAAAAAATTTCATTAGTCACCTTTAAGGGTTGCTAAAACATCACTTATTTTTCTGAAAACCGATAAGGTGTTTTAAAAAATGAAGCACTTTTCCCATGTTTTTCCTGAACAAACTATTTCCAAAAAAAAATAAATGGATGACTTCAAGTACATATTATAAAGTCCAATTAATACTGAGGAAATGCAGTTAATCACTAATTTGCAAACCCTAATAGACCGAAGTATCAATATCCATTAAAGGCTAAAACTATTAAAGATCGATAGAAAAACGTAGTGTATAAATAAGGTTGACGTTTGAAACTGATTGACCTTAATGTCACTGAGAGGGGGCAACTAGCCATTTTGTGCTTCATGATCTGACAAAAAAGGAAGTACACAATACCACTTTGGAAGTTTTCTTGCCAATGGTAATCAATCCTCTACATCTAACTAGCAATTTATAGAAAATATGTGACATGGAGATACAAATCAAAAGATAAAGTAATCAGCCAAATTCAGCATGTGGAAAAGTACAGGACAGTTAACATGGCATAGAAAAGAAAATGTTGGGGCTGCAGAACAGGGTGAGGGACTTTTAAATAGATAGACTTCAAAGGCACATTAAGCAAATACAATGTGGCAACTTTACTTGGAATCTTATTTGAACCAACTATAAAAAGGCACTTTTGAGACAACCTGGAAAATTTGAACATGGACTAAGTATTGGTTGATATTAATTTTGTCACGTGTGACAAAGTCCTTATTTGTTAGGAGAGATTTCATGAATTTGTTTTAAAATACTCCAAAAAAAAAAAAAGGGTAGGAGGAAAAAGCAAGTTAAGCAAAAGGTTGGTAGTTATGGAACCTGGCCACGGGTACATGAGGGGTTGTTAACATGATTTTAATTTTGTGTATGGTTGCAAGTTTTCTATAATAAAAAAATCAAATAGTATTCTGAAGACACCTATATTGACTATATGAAATATAAAAGAAGTGTAGCCAGAGCACCCTGCCCTTGAATTTATAATTTTGGAAAGAAAATGAAAGAATGGAGAAAAAAAGAAAGAACAATGTAATATTGCTTAATTTAAGGCAATGCTTAGACTGAACAGCTCCAGGAAGAGATTAGTATTACTGGAGTCATCAAAAAGTTACAGGAATGATGTTTACTCTAATAAAAAAAATCACTAGGACATGTTTGTGCTTCTTTTGAAGTTTCTCAACCAGTCTACTATGCAGACTAATTTTTCAATCCTGAAATTCACTGGAAACTGCAGAAATTCTCAAAAGTGAAGACAGTAAAAGCACATCGCCCAGTAAAATAATTTGGTGTTGAAGCACAAGCTTAAATAGAAAAAAGATGCAGATACACATGTAAATAAAATGTTTATCCACAAATGGGTCTACAGAATCATTTTAGTAAAAGTAACTTTTCGGCAGAATGTACACAAATAGTTTAGAGAAAAAGAACAATCTCTACAAATATCTTCCTTAATTATATCATGACCAATTTAACCCACAAATCAACAATGTGGTTGCAATTTTAAATAATAAATAATATTAAAAGTCTGGTAACAGGCTACAGTGATGCTGCTACCCTTGGCACACAATAAACACAGAATTCCACCTAGTCTGTCTGGAAAGACAGAGAGAGTAACATCTTAAAATTAGAGGAAACACTACTCTGGGTACAACTTGTAAATGAGTATACAACCTGTATGTGACTACAAGCAGATTAGACTTTTAAATAAAATTTTCACTTGAGTAAAATTAAATGCTAACCTATGCTTGATGACAGGTAATTTCTAATATTTTCACTAATAAAAAACGGCAGGCACCTTCACCGTACCTGTGGTTATAAAGCAACTTTCACCTCTTCCCAAAACATTCCAGTATAATCTTGTACTTATCCATTTGGATAAGTTACTTTGATCTTCTGTATTGTTCCAAACTAAGAAAATATAAACAACAGATTGGGGATGGGGTGGCAGCAGAACACCTTATTCAAAGATTGTTACTTAACAGACTGGGGATGGGGTGGCGGCAGAACACCTTATTCAAAGATTGTTACTTTATATGAACTAAAGAATACACTGATTAGAAGTACAAAATAATAAGCAAGAACTCATAAATTTTGATTACTGCTTTAATTACATGCCTTAAAACATACCTACGTATTATGAGTTACTATATGTTGTATGCTTTTAGTTTACTTGCTAGATGGTCATTAGGCCAGCTCTAAAAAATGTTTACCATCCAAATAGAAATTCATTAGGGAATACTAAAATTTTTGTTTTATGATTAGTTCTGCTCCTAATATCAGCCTGAAATGAGTTTTAATCCAGTAAAAAAAAAGGTGGGGAGCCCTATTATGAAATAATTGAGTCTCTATTTTCAATAGTAACTATGTAGTAAACAAATTTTCAGTCAGGCCTTGCGTGTCTGTACCATCTATGTATAATAAATTTTCATTATTTTAATAGAGGATAGTATTTACATTAAGTCTACGTTTTGTTCAAAATGTATTAAACAGGTAACAAAGGACATTTAAATAAGGCCTAGTTTAGTTTAATGTTTTTATTTTTTAGAATATAAAAATAGCAAAAAATGTCAAGCTTTAAAATCTTTGTAAGCATGTACTGCTTTTATAAAAAATAATCATTTGTTTAAAACAATTAAAAAATTAAAACTTAAAATGTCCTATTTCTTACTTTCATCTTGGAAAGCAAAAATACACTAAATGAAATATTAGTGTATTTTATTTTCAAATCAATTTAAATATGGAAAAGTATTTAAACATGAAAAATGATTTTGGTCAGGTTGATAATCAACACTTTCATTTCTAAAAATGTGAGAACGTAAGGGATTAACTGATTTCATTTACCCATGCCACAGCAGTATAACTACAATGAGTTCAACTGGAAATGAAAAATAAGGTTTACATACTTTTTAAGACCAGGTATATTCTCACCAAAAATAAGTAAAATAACAAAAGCATCAATCAACTTTTTTTTCCAACTCTCCCTAATATTTTAAATGCTTCTTTCATTCCACTCAAACATCTTTGGGGTAGAAAAAAATGTTTAATACAAATCTTCCTAAACAAAATAACTATTTTAAAGATGGAGTAAAGCCCACAAATTAGGTCTTTAATTTATTCCAGAAAAGATATTTTCAATGCATTTAAATATTTAATGATCATTAGGATAATAATATAAAGGCCTCCACTAAAATATAAAACTCTTTCTTAGGGAGGACAAAAATTAACATTGAAGAAATTAAATTTATAAGACCTATTTCTCATCTAAGTTTTTTAAAAACACATTTGTGAAGCTTATATTTTCTGGCTGTTAAAAAATTCTTTTCAAAAACACCACAATTAAGTTCAAAATCTCAAGACCTATGAAAAAAAATTCTTTAAAGAACAGTAACTACCTTGATATACAAATCGCGTCTCACCTTACAGTCTTCTTGTCATTAATTTTTTGGATAGCATTTTTCCTCCCCTTTTACCCAAAAGGAAGCTCCTGTAAGTCATCAGTACTTGTCATCCACATCAAGTTCAATCTGGACCTTCAAGTCCTATTCTCACCTATAGAGCAAATTTGAATCCAAAAAACCAGATGAACAGCAACTGATTCCAAAAGTCAAGTTAAATACCAAAATATATTCTAATGTACGCCAGTATGCTATATATTCCAACAGAGATTGATTTGTGTTTAAAAAAAACAAAAAACAAAAAAAATAAGCATTCAATGCTTATTTGAGGTGCTTAAAACAAAGTTTTAATACTAATACCCCGACCTAGGCTTTCAACTTCATTCAAATGAACTAGTTAAAATAAGCAAAAATAAACTGTGTCATTGTATTAGATCAAACCAACCAAGGCATAAAGACTATTAAGTGCAAAATGGTTTTCCAAGAGTGGTTTTTAATTCTCTCCTGGTAACCAAATTTCTGTCAGACTTCTATCATTATACAACTGGAACTGCTTCCATAGTCACCAGTAAAAAATCACAGTTCTTTTGGAAATCTACCTCCAAGCCTCCATACCCTCCTTGGCAAGAACTCAATCTACCCCCTTCTCCTCCCTCCCTTAAGTATTCAGTTCTTTCCCGAAGTAGAAATTCCATAAATATTACAACATTAAGGACTAAATTTTAATGAATATAAATCAGAGGAAATGAAGGAACATGAACTCCCATTCAAACCTTCCTTAAAAAAAAAATGTTTCCAAGTTATATTTTTAACTTCCCCCATGATTCGCTTTAAAAAAGACGAACACAAAATCTCTCTGCTAATGACTTTATTCATGAATCTATAACGGAACTCAAAATAGCAAGGAACATGAAAAAAATTCAGATTAATATTTATTAACCAAATACATCAGAGAATACATCTATTTTTTATTTAACTAACAAAAATGTCTAAAATGCATGTGTGAGAATATAAACATTCTCCACTTTCTGGAATTTCAAAGTAATGAAGATCTGCTTGATACAGTTGGCCAGAAAAGCTCATTTACACTGTCAAATACATATAATTCAAAAGAAATCAGACACAACTGATAAAATAACCATCTCATGGTTAATCTTCTGGTAAAGTGCTACTTTCAAAGAAATAAGATTAAAAATTTTTAAATGCTGAACCATCATTCTGGAAGTGTTAAAATTTCTCTTCAAGATTCACTATGTTCATCACATTCATATGTCCCCAAGAGTCCATACACACTATTTTACAATCTAAAAAAATCTGTTAGCTCACAGATTATTTCCTGGAAGTTATAAAGATTACTACACCATTGCTAAATGAAGTTTTTCATGATACAGGTGTGTCCCAGACACAGTGATTTTTCATTGTTTTAAACATGATCTTTGGTTTGAAGCTGTCCTGATATCCTTTCTGGCTGGATGGCTGTGGTCATTAAAATATTCATAAAACAGCACATAACTTCATTTGAACCACACAAGTAAATTGGGTCAATGGCCTAAAGGCAAGGAACGGCACATACTGAGCATCTGGCAAGAAGAGTTCCCCGAATCCATAATTGACGTGGTCAGTGTTAAAGAAAACAAGCGTTGCTGAGGAGTGGCCCACCTCCTTTCATCAAAGACCTCTCTCGATTTATTAACAGCATTAGCCACTAAGGAAATTAGTTGGGAAAAAAATCTAATCTGAAGGAAGGCACATGGATGCAAATCTTCAAACAGAAAAATAAGACCAAGGAAACTGCTTAAATAAGAATGTGTGTGTCCATCCCAAAGTATATGCACATCTCATATTTGAGGTTGAATATGATCACTGCATAGATTGCGCCACGTGGAAAACTCTTATGCCTACGGGCATATATATGAGATCAGAACTAACTGGTGGTTTTCCCGAAATAATGAGACTGTCAATGATGCAAAAGTTGGCCTTTCCCCCAAATGAAAGGTTTTAAATAGCAAAGGGCTGAAATAACAATGGAAACTGTAAGAAGCCATAAAGTTAAATCTCAGAAAGGACAAGTTCAACGTCATAGCTGAAGGCTGCTGATGATTTCTTCTCTCTCTCCTTGAATAATTACATGCAAATGCCTTTTAGCAATGGTAGCATTCAAATCCCACAAAAAATCAAGTAATGCCCCCTTCAGGAGCACCTCCATTGGCACAAACTGTAAAACCTGCTGGGGTGCGTTGGATTTAAGCAAAGAGCTCAACAATTCATTCACATTCTGCAGATACTGGAAAACCGGATTTGGAAGGTCCTGATAACCAACACACAGCAGGACTGCACAGGTCTTCAGGGGCTCAGAAGAAGTGGGACAAGAAAATGTGATGAATCTAAAACAGCTGTGGAGTACAAAAATCAAACCAGCCATAAATCTTGTAAAACAAGAAAGTACAGGCAAAATCATAACATCTCCTGTATGAAGCTGCTGCAATGAATGTAGAAGGCAGTCCAGAAACAGTTGCTGGTAAATCGGGTCTCCATCATGAAGCAACGAACAGCTGAAAGTCATGAGTTCAGCTGATTCCAGGACTTCCAGTGGTATATGTGTTTTGATATCACGGAGGGTTGAAAAGCCCACAAGCAGGCACTTTATTTGGTTGCTGGGTTCTACCACCTGTTCATCCTGAAGGCACCTGGTAAGGCTAAACAACTCAGAAAATATCAATTCTTCAGTAAAAATGTGACAAGAACAGTAATACTGCTGTTTGGGCCAGAACTTGGAATCCAAATTCAAGGCTCCTCCTAATGACTTTTCAATTGCTTCATTAAGAGTCTTTAAAATTTCACCATCACAGAAAGGAGAACACTTTACCTTTGGCAGTTTCTTTCCCTCTAAAATATGCCATAAGTGATACTCAAGATTGGAAGCTGTCCCTTCTAAGAGAGAACTTTGCCCAGAATGATACACAGCATGTTCTTCTGCCCAACTATTAAAGTATCCTTTGGCCACCTTATCTTTCCATGAAAGGGTTTCCAGCATTTTCCTTTCATTATAGGTTTTAAAATACCTGCTCCTCTGCCCAAACCATTTTGTATTTGTACTACAACCAATATTAGATCTTTTCACTAGCCAATGATTTCTGGAAAGAGGCTTCAACTGAAACTTTTGCATGAAATATTGAACAGCACAGTCCCTTAAATTATTCAGCTTTGTCTGTTCCCCTTTTCCCATGCACTGAAACAGACGAATGTTCTCAGAAATAGTCTCTAGTTGGTATTTATGAAAGAACATACAACATTCTTCATGCCTTTTAAGAAAAGATTCGGGAATCACATGATGGGGAAAGAGAGCTTTCTGGGTCATTTCCTTCCCAAAATTCAGCACCATCTTAGATAACAGAGGATGGACTGCCTCTCTTCCCTTATAGTGGAGACAAACCACATAGACTTCTGAGTTCCCTGCCTTACTAGTAGCAGGTTTAAAAACATGGACTTGGTCAAAGGAACAGTTTAGCAGGTACATCAGGTTTATGGAACAATGTTCAAACAAAGTAAACATCTTCAGAACAAAAGAGCCACCATTTCCAAGAGTCATCAGAGCAGTGACGACTTCACAGTAATGCAAAGAAGAGACTAAAGCTTCTTGTTCACCTGGGTTTCCTTGGCAATCAAAACTCCCATCTGCAGTGATCAAGTGAATGGTAGCCATGTTACTTACGAAATTCTGAAGTCCAGTCAGGTATTTCAAGGTCATGATATCACCAGTATTATCTGGACCAAAGTACCACCAATGCAAGGTATTTGCAATAAGTCGGTCATCCATAATCATCATAAGATTGTCATTTGCTTCGTGGTATGGATTCAAAGTATTAGCTACCCAACTCCAATCACAAGGGAATCTATGGGATTTTAAGTAGTGATTGAGACTAGCTATAAAAGCTCCAGGAGCTTCACAAAGGTGTAGAGAATTCAGTTTTCCATTCTGAAAAGCTTCCTGTGGAATAAGTGGAAAGCTGCACAAAATTTCATGAAACTTACACCATGCTTGAGTACAAAGTTCAGCGTTCACAGATTTTTTCACATGAGAAATTATTTTTCCAGCTTTATTAGTGAAAGCAGTGTGTTCATGCCACTCATCCAATTTCTTATCACTCAGTAGGTTTTTTACTTCATTTAGGGAGTTCTTCAAATCAAGCAATGTATTAAATTCCGTGTGGTCACAAGTGAAAATTTCACTGGGATCTGGTAACTGCCACTCATTATTAAGTGGCTTGCCATAAGAAAAGTTCTTGGCAAAGAGTTCAAAAATGTCAGCAAGAACATCTGGGCTGAATGTCTCAGGACTTGAACCCAGTGGTGGCTTCCTGCACTTACTCATTTTCAAATTAAATTAAAATCTAGAAAAAGAAAACACATAATTAAATGAATCAAATTTATTAGTGAAATCTCATCCACAGCAAATAAGATCACACTCATGACAAACCACATAAAATGGGAAGGTTAATGTCAGCACATTCTGTTACATAATGAGGCAATTTGGAATAAAGAAAGAGTAAAGGCTTTTACATCCAACAGACCTGAGCTCAAAACCACAGCTAAAAAGTGGCCTTGGGCAAATTACATCTTTGAGCCTGTTTCTTATTTAAAAGTAAGGGTATCATTTTTTTAGACAAGGATAAAACATGCTAGCATATAAAAAGCATATACCAACGAATATTCATCAGTGATGGCAGCTCATATTACCATGGTAATCCATCTAGATCCTCCCCAAAATTTTCCTCTAACCATGGCTGAGACACCACCCACATGGCCCCAAACACACTCTCAGACTAAGATTCATCCCTTGACCTTTGATCAAGCTTTAACAAGTGACTTTTAGCTTTTTCAGTTCCCTCCAAATCTCACCTCCTTCCAGGAGAAGATGCTACACCTGAACCCAGTACTGGTACTGCTACCAGGCCTCTCTGCCACCACACACTTATTCACCTACAAGGACTGCCAAATACGTCCTCCATCCAGATCTCACACTCTTGCTAAGACATGCACTTTGGTGGTACCAAATCACCTTTACAGGCCACCAACTAACACTCATCACCATACTGTTTAACTGTGGCGTACCTGACTGGTTAGCCTCTATTCAGCTTAATGCTGCAACTGAACTATAGTTCAACCTGGCATGTCTCTAAACTAGATTCCTGTCTCATCTACTCAGACAGCTCCATGCCTCCACTACAAAATATATCTTCTTGTCACTAAAACGTAACACACTTTGATAGAGGATCTTTAAATTGAAGAAATAGCCTCACTGAATATACAAATTATAAACAGTCACCCTACATTCTGTGTTCTAACACCGCCTAAGAAACCAAAAACATCTGTCTACTGGAGAGGGAAAGAGATATAAGGGAAAGAAGCATGGCTCAATGGCATAGTGTTGGCCTAAGTTGTACATTCCAGCAGACAGAGCTCTAAGTATGATGATAGTACTTGTTGGCTCAATGTTAATTAATAGGTGCTTTAGTTCATAAGTTCTGCATTTACTTAGCATATTCAATGCATTCTACACCAGTTTTTCAAAAAGAATCTAAGTATGTCAAACACAAACTGACAACAAAACCACCATCCCGCAAAAAGCCAATGTTTGATGATTAAAATGGGAAACAAAGGTGAGCTAGTGCCACAATAAATACAGTAATATCCAAAAGACTGCAATCTATTAGCAACTTCTTTTGTACTGTTCTTTTGGCACACTTTTTTCATTCTCTTATATTTTGTTTAAATTATTTACAACCCTGTATACTCCACTAGTTTGTAAGCTTTTTGAAATAACAAGTATCTTCTTAGTCATTTGTTTGCCACAGTATATTTACAATACACGTATATAGTTAATAGTCACACTTGCCCATCAATACCTTTTTCTTATCTTAGATCTTTTTTTTTTTTTTTTTACTGTTAGAAGCTATATTCAGACAGACTTCTGAAAGAAGGCCAAAAATGAGGCATTCTCACATTCATTAAAAGACTAAAGGCAAATGAAAGTTTATTACAAGTTATTCTGTCTTAATTCCCACTGTGCTTACTGAAAACTACAACCATGTTTAGATCACACCTATATTTTATTTTGGAAAAAGTCTGATTTTAGTCTAATCTCACATACTAATTAATGGCTGTAGGTAAGCTCTGAAATCTTACCTAAGCTAATAGATAATTACCTTCACATGAGAAAAACTAAAGTGATTCAAACACTCCACTGTTCTTCCTGACTACACCTGCGGTACACAAATCAAGATTATATATTTATATAAAAATTATATATATTGAATGTGTGTGTGTGTGTGTGTGTGTGTATGGAATAACGCTCAGGTCTATAATCCAACCTTTGTTTCCTCCTATCAAATTCCCAGAATCCACCCACCTCCCAGCTACCAGTCTCCTGATTGTAGACACTGTCAATTCTCTGCTGGATTACTGCCATAGCCTTCTAACTGGTCTCTTCTATCTTTGCCTCCTTTGGCTCCCCATTTCACTCAAAGTAAATGCCACAGTCGTTACAGTAGCCTACAAGAACCCTGAAGATTTCTGCCCTCAAGCCCCAACCCATCTCTAACCTGTCTATTATTCCCCTTATTCATTCTGCTCCAGCCACACAAGCTTTATTGCTGTTCACTTAAACACCAGGTACACTGCAACCTGCAGGTCTTGATCAATCCCTCTGCGTGGAACCCCTCTTCCTTCAGATTACCTGTATACCTAACTCCCTCACCTCCTTCAAATATTACTGGCGTGTAATTTCTCTATGAAATCTAACCTGACATCCTAATTGCATCTTGCACTACCACCAATGGTAAAGGAATGGACCTAGCTGTACTATCGTTTTCCATGACTCTCTTTTCCTTCTAACATGTAATTTGCTTATTATGTTTATTATTGTCTTCCCCAAATTAGAATCTAAGCTCCACAAGGCAAGGATCTTTGTTTTGTTGACTCATTTACCACCCCGAGGTTACAACAGTACTTAGTACACAGTAAACACTCAGTATTTATTGAATAAATGAATGTATATCATACTTAACACAAACGGCACTCTTCTGAGTACGTTCTGAATAGGAGTCATTTTCACTCCAGCCCTGCAATGCATGACCAAAAATTTAAAAACAAAACACGTGGTTTACAAGATAGAAGTTTCCAGTATGTTCCTCTGTCCCTTTCATTAAGCACTCCATAGAGCTTTGTGGCATCATAATTCCGCTAGGAAGGTCAGTATTACCATTCTCATTTTGCAGATTCGAGAAGAAAAGTCATGTAGCCCCCTGTTCGAAGCCACAAAGGAAATACCTGCAAAATTCGTGAGCCTGACACAAAACCCACAAGATCTCACTTCTCCAATTAATGCTTACAAAGGAGTTTTAGAAATGTTTCTGGCAACTCCTCCCAGCAACGGTGAAAGTAACAGCTAGAGTGTATCCAGCGCTTTACTTTGGGTCCGGGGCACCCAAGATCTCGTTTCACCTGATGGGAAGTGAGTCCCAAGCTACATTCGAGCGGCCCGATTCCTCCTGACGTGGACGCACCTCAGTCCCAGCCCCTGCCTCACCCTCTGGAAAGTCGAAGGAAGACCCGGCCTCGGAACCCGGGTCTGATTACCTTCGCTCACGCCCACCTCGTCCCCCCGAGTCTAGAAAAGCAGCGCTTCACTCGTTCTCCTCACTCGAAGGAACCATCCTCCACTTCCGCTCCCGGGGCTGCTTCCCGGAACGGTCGCTCCTAAAGGTCTGCGGCACCTCCCGCCGCAGCGGATGTAGGTGGCGCGCCGAAAGGCCGGGAGAGAGGCCCTGGCCCGCCCTCGCAACACGAGAAGCGGTAACCCACCTCCAGGCCACGCCGCCCCCGAACGTCGGCAGAGAGCCGCCCGAGGGCCATGAGAGACACATTGCGCACGCGCCTCGAAGCCGGGCTGGCGTCACGCGTCAACGTTACGCACGCCGGCGACTCTCGCAGCGCCGAAGCCCTTGCTCCCTAGGTTTCGTTTCTCCGCCGGGTGCTGAAGCTGGGAAACGCCAGCCTCCGGGCCCACGGCTTCTATGGCAACGGAAGGTACTCGCGGAGGCGGAGCGTCCCTTGGCCCCGCCCCCTCGGCGGAGAGGGCGGTGGGGTGGGGTGGGGCGGGGCAAACCTATCAAGCACACGCTGGCTCCGCCCACCCGGCCTTTGGGCAGGGAAGGCTTTCTAAGGCTGTTAGGCGGAAGTTGGTTTGTCACACAGGTTGAGTTAAAACTGGTGCTCGAAAGACAGTATGAGGTTAAAAGCCAAACTAGGCAAACTGCGAGATAACACTGTTATTATAACATATATGTTTATAAACCAGTAAGGAAAAGACAATCTCAAAGGAAAATTGGGCGGAAATTTGAACAGTCCATCCAAAACAAGTAAAACAGCCAATAAGGATATACAAAAAATTTTAACCTATTATAAAAAAAAAGTTGGAAATGAAAACAATAAATTTCCTTTTCACCCAATTTAGCAAAGGTTAAAAAGATCAATAATGGCCACTGTTGTTGAGAATATGGAGAAACAGGTTTATATACTGTGGGTGGGCATAAAAATTGGTATAATCCTTACAGAAGGCAAACTTTAAAATGGCCTTGCACCTTAGCCAGACGATTCCCGCGCCTAGCAATTTATCCTTAGGAAACAAACAGGCACTCACTTTGGACACAATGTTCATTTCGGCACCTTAATAGCAACAATAACAAAAACTGGAAACTCTAAATGTCTACTTTAAGGGAATTAATTAAATTCTTCATGATACATCCATATAATGGGATACTCTTCAGCCAATAATAGGTTATATGTGTCAACAGTATTGCATAAAAATGGGAAAATATAGAGCTGTGTGTAGAGTTTGAACCATTTATGTAAATTATATATGTGTATATAAAATATATTATTTTACAAGTCCTCCAGGATGTGCATCAATTGAGGGGAAACAATTGTCTTTTCAAAAAAATGGTGCTAGGCCATCTGGATATTCATATGGAAAAAATTTTATTTGGACTCTTACCTTCATCATAAAAATACATTTCATTTGGGTTGCCAATCTCTATTTTAAAAGTCAAACAACTCTTTTAGCAGAAAACATCTTTGTGACCTTGAAGTAGGCAAAAAGTTTACAACAAAGCAGAAAAGCACTAATCATAAAGGGAAAATACATAAATTGAACCATATTGAAATCAAGAATGTCTATTCACCATAAGACACCATTGAGAGTGAAAAGACAACCTATTGAAAGGGAGAAAATATTTACAATAAATATGTATGACAAATGACTTGTATCCAAAATATATAACTCATACAAATAAATAAGAAAAGATGCCTAGT